TCTCAAAAAGACCTCAACAAACAAACATGAAAGTTAGAAAAATTAGTGTCTTTGTAAAGGGCAGCCTCTTTCCTCCTATCAGCAACTTGAGACTGAGTTGGAAATGTAAGGGGAAATTGTTGTTTAGAAAAAGAATCTGAATTGCTTTTTTCTTGTGGTACTGGAGATGGAACTCGGGGATTCTCTATTCCAGAACTACATCCTCAGCCCTTTTTAGTTCGAGATGGTCTCCCTGAGTGTCCAAACTGATCTCCAACTTGTGAGCCTCCCAGGTCGCTTGGATTAGAGGCATGCACCGTCATACCCGGTTTGCTGTACTTGTTTGTTTTTCAGTGTAGGCTGATTCTGGGTTACTTCAGGTGTTTGTGTTACACAAAATGATGTGATAGTCAAGTTTCTTTTGACTGTGGCAGAAACAAAACGAGAAGCCATGGCTTTCGTTAGTTTGTTTTGAGACAGGGTCTCACTGTATAGTTCAGGCTGCCCCTGAACTCACTGTGTAGCCCAGGCTGGCCTCAAACCTGTGGCAGTTCTCCTCTCTCAGACTCCCAAATGCTGGGATTATGGATGTGTACCACCACGCCCGGCAACCATGACTTATATGTTTTTTTTTTTTTTGGTCTTTTTCCAGTACGGGGAATCGAACTCAAGACCACGTGCTTGTCAGGCAGGCGCTGTGCCGCTGAGCTAAATCCCCAGCCCCAGCCATGACTTCTAAATACAGTATGTAGGAAGTTTAACAAGCAAAGCTAGGGTTGGTAGAGAGTGGTGCCCTACCCCGCTTGGAGACTGAACCAGGGCCTCAAGCATGCTAAGGCAAGCACAGTCACTCAGCTACGTCCCCACCCCAGAAGAGAAGATTGAACTGACGTTTTTTGCTTTCTTTTCCCTGTATTAAAACACAGTCTTGGGGCTGGGGATTTAGCTCAGCAGCACAGCGCCTGCCTAGCAAGTGCAAGGTCGTGAGTTCGATTCCCGGGACCGGAAAAAAACAAAAAAATAAAACACAGTCTGTTGTGGGTATGGTGGTGCAGACCTGTAATCCCAGCACTTGGGAGGCTGAGGCAGGAGGATCACTGTGTAGCCTGGACCACATAGTAACTTTAAAGCCAGCCTGAACTACATAGTGAGATCCTGTCTTAACAAAACAAAAAATAACCCAACCCTTCAAACGCAGCCTCTCCTAGCTGTGTGCATTAACCACCGCACTGCTCTGTTGCAGGAGACTGAGTGCCCTCTGCGGCTTGCTCTCTGCCAGCACTGCGATTTGGAACTCTCTGTTCTCAAACTGAAGGAACATGAGGATTACTGTGGTGCCCGGACAGAGCTGTGTAGCAACTGTGGGCGCAACGTCCTTGTGAAAGATCTGAAGACTCACCCTGAAGTTTGTGGGAGAGGGGAGGGGGAGAAGAGACATGAGGGTGCCATACCTCCGAATGCGTACGATGAGCCTTGGGGTCAAGATGGAATGTGGATTGCGTCCCAGCTCCTCAGACAGATTGAGGCAATGGACCCACCCACAAGGCTCCCCGGAAGGCCCCTGCAAGCCTTTGAATCAGACCTTTTCCACGCTGGGACTGCCAACCAAAGGAACGTAACAGCGCATTTTCCAGTTCAGAATAACCTTTGTGAGTTGTGCTTGGAATTCAGAAATGAAACGGTATCAAAATTCCAGGCAGCCAAGTGTGGTGGCACATGGCTGTGATCCCAGCTCTCAGGAGGCTGAGGCAGGAGGATCGCAAGCTAGAGGCCAACCTAAACTATATATATATGAGTTTGTGGCTGGCCTAAACTACATAGTGAGACCCTGTTTTTAAAACAAAAAGTCCCAAGGTAATTGGGAACTGAGATTAGGGGGCTAAATAGATCTTGATTATAGAAACCTGACTATAGCCGATTAGTACTAGAAAGAATACTTAACTTTCCTATGAAGTGGGAATAATAGAACCTTTTTACTATTGAATTACAGTTAGGGTTGATGATAATGATGACAGTACTGTAAGTAGGTCGCTCTTGCCAGGTATGGTGGCACATGCCTGTAATTTTAGCACTTGGGATGCTGATGCAGGAGTATCTCTGAGTTGGAGGCCAGCCTGAACTACATAGTGAGATACTGTCTCCAAAAAAAAAAAAGTAGCAGCCTTTACACCTTATGAACTTCAGGCATTTGCAGAGTGCTTTACATGTATTAAACTCATTCAATTTTCTGAACAGTGATTGGGTAGGTAAATGGTACAGTTGAGATTTAAATTTACGCAGTCTGACCCCATGCTTGAAAAATGTTGGGCAAAGTGCTCATCTTGTAGTTATAGCTCAGTAATACTGCTTTTATTAATACATTATTAAACTAGTAACAGAGCCTGGTCTCATAGCGGGCAGTATTCAGAGGCCTGTGAGAACGAGGTGAAGGGTGCACAGAGCTGGCGCGTTGTAAACCTTGACCGTTTGCTAGGCGTGGACTTGAGGAGGGTGGCAACATCTCTAATGTGTCTTGAGTGCTGGGTATTCTTTTTCAGTTGAAGAACAAGAAAGGCAGGAAAGGAATAGAGGCCAGAAGCCCCCCCAGAAGGGTGGTGAAGATGCTGCAAACTTGGACTTCATGTTGGCCCTAAGTCTGCAGAATGAGGGCCAGGCCTCCAGCATGGCGGAACAGGACTTCTGGAGGGCTGTGTGTGAGGCAGACCAGTGCCACAATGGTCTCCGTTCTCAGAGGGACATAAAGGGTAAGTTTGTGTATCCTGCACTGGTTCTTTTTTTTTGTTTTTTTTTTCTGGTACCGGGAATCAAACTCATGACCTCGCACTTGCCAGGCAGGCGCTGTGCCGCTGAGCTAAATCCCCAGCCCCCTGAACTGGCTTCTTTCTAATTTTTGTTAGTCTCTTTTTTTTGGGGGGGTGGGTACTGGAAATTGAACTCAGGACCTTGCGCTTGCCAGGCAAGCACTTGTGCCACTGAGCTACATCCCCGGCCCTGTTAGTCTTTATACAACTTGCATGAACATGAAAGGTTTCAATGAGATAGAATTTGCTTAATTGTTTTTGGTCTGTTTGCTTTTTGTTGTTTGTTTTTCCAACTTTTTAAAAAATATTATCAGAATAGACTTGGCCAAGGCAGCTTGTGTCTTTAATCCCAGCTGCTCAGGAGGCTGAGGTGGGAGGTGACACATGTGAGGTCAGCTGGACAACATAGTGAGAGCTCATCTTGAAAAAAGTACAGTGGAGTCAAATCCACATCTAGGCTATGTTCAGCAATGTAATACCATACTTACTTTTCTTTTTTTTTTTTTTTTTTTTCTTTTTTGGTGAGGTTTTTTTTTTTAATGGCCAAGATTTTTTTGCCTTTTTGAGGCAAGGCTTCACTATGCAGTTCAGGCTGGCATTGAACTCACTTTGTAGCCCAGGCTGGTCTCTTAACTCACAATGATCCCCCTGCCTCAGCCTCCTGAGTGCTGGGATTATAGGTGTGCGCCACCACACCCGGCTCACACTTACCTTTATATATAGCATTTTCCCTGAGACATTTAAGAGTAATGGGGCATTTTATGCTTAAATACTTCATTATATGTCTCTTAACAAGAGTATTTTTCTGTGTAAACGTAATAAATGTACCTCTTAGGAAATGTATTGTAAATTCTGTACTTCAATATTAAGCCCTTTAGAACTTTTTTATTTTGTTTTGTTTTTATTATTTACCTTTTAAGATATGGCACTTTGTTTTTTGGGTTTATTTTATTTTATTTTATTTTATTTTGCCTTTCTGAGACAGGGTTTCGCTGTGTAGTTCAGGCTGGCCTTGAGCTCACTCTGTAGCCCAGGCTGGTCTCTAACTCGCAGCGATCCTCCTGCCTCAGCCTCCTGAGTGCTGGGATTACAGGCGTGCGCCACCACGCCTGGCCTTTGAGCTATCATTTTTGTTCATGCCACTATAAGGATAATGGCTTGAACTATAGAACAGTCTTTTAAGATTTTATTGCTCTAGATAAAATAGTGATCAGTCCTGACTCAGACGTTAGATTTTTTGGGCAGCATTGGTGCTTGATCCCAGAGCCTTCTCACTAAATCAACCCCCAGTCCTTTTTATTTTGTTCTTTTGTGATAAGGTCTCACTATCTAGTTCAGGCTGGCCTTGAACTCACTGTGTAGTCCATGTTGATCTTGAACTCACGGTGATCCTCTTGTCTCAGCCTCCTGAGTGCTGGGTTATAGGTATGTGCCATCATATCGAGCACTTCCGAATTTTGAGACAGGGTCTTGCTAAGTTAAATTGCCCAGGGTGGGCTCAAGCTTGTGATCCTCCTACCTTAGGCTACCAGAGTGCTGGGATCATAGGTCTGTGCCACCATGCCTGGCTCCAAAATCAAACTGTTCTGTAAAACTCCAGAAGGGGAGTAAAAGGTTGAAATCAAGTTGGTTTTTGTTCCTTTGGAGTCTGACTATGTGTCCTGCTACCTAGGTACAGCGGACGAGACCATGTTGCCTTGTGAGTTTTGTGAGGAGCTCTACCCAGAGGAACTGCTGATTGACCATCAGGTGTGTTGAGAATTGACTATGTGCTGTTTTGTTTTGTTTTTTGTTTTGAGACAGAGTCTTGCTCATGCTGGACTCAAACTTGGGGCATTCCTCCTGCCTCAGCTGGATTATAAGCATTTACTACCATGCCCAGCAACTGTGGGCTTTAAGTAGGAATGTGAGTAGGCCATATGTGATGTTTTGGGAAATATGCATTCTTGAGCAAGTTTTTATTCATTTATTTATATTTATTTGTTTAAAAAAAATTTTTTTTAAGAGCCAGGTATGGTGGTGCACACCTAGATCCCAGCACTGTGAGGCTGAGGCAGGATGATCTCCGTGAGTTTGAGGCCAGCCTGAGCTCTGTGTAGCAAGACCCTGTCTCAAAAAAACAAAAAGCACGTGGGCGTGGTCGCACACAGGTCTGTAATCCCAGCACTCGGGAGGCTGAGGCAGGAGGATCTCTGTGAGTTCGAGACCAGCCTGGGCTACAAAGTGAGCTCAAGGCCAGCCTGAACTGCACAGCGAGACCCTATCTCAAAAGGGCAAAAAAAAGAGTACATTTGTGATACATAAAAAATGTGTTCACCCTGAGAACATGGTGCATAAACACATTGTATCTTCGTCCTTTTTAAGTTCTTTGAGACAGAATATCGCTGTATAGTCCAGGCGGGCCTTGAACTCACTAAGTAGTGCAGGCTGGCCTCAAATTCCCGGCAATCCTTCTGCCTCAGCCTCCTGAGTATGGGATTATAGGCATGCACCACCATGCCTGGCTTGTGTGGTGGCATTTCTTCTTTGTTTTTCTTTTGGTTTTTCGAGATAGGGAAGGCCTTGCTATGCCTTCAGACTTGCCTTGAACTCACTATGTGACCCACACTGCCTTTGAACTCACTGTGATCCTCATCCATTGCTTCTGAAGTGCTGGGATTATAGATAGGCACTACCATGTCTGGCTTCATCCGGCATTTCTAAGGCTGCTACACAGTTCCTGTGCTTTAGATGATGGAACATACCTTCCTCCCTTAAATGGAAAGATGTGCTATTTGAATACCTCTAATTTTTGTTTTGGGAGCCATATAAGAATATTTAACAAAGATAATGAAGAATATTTGAATTTGAGCCCCTCTTTCACTGTATGGCAGTAGGAAGATGTTTTTATTTTTTTGCAGTGCTAGGAGTGGAGAAGAATACTGAGTCTTTTAAAAAGAGTAATTGGGGCTGGGCATGGTGGCGCACACCTGTATCCCAGCACTTGGGAGGCTGAGGCAGGAGGATCCATGCAAGTTGAGATTGGCCTGGGCTCCAAAGTGAGCGCAAGGCCAGCCTGAACTGCATAGTGAGACCGTGTCTCAAAAAAAACAATAATCAGGCTGGGGATGTAGCTCAGCAGTACAGCGTTTGCCTGGCAAGTGCAAGGTCCTGAGTTCATTCCTGGTACCAAAACCAAGAATAATCATGGCCAGGCATGGTGGTGCACATCTGTAACCCCAGCACTTGGAAGGCTGAGGCAGGGGAATTGCTGTGAGTTTGAGGCCAGCTTGGGCTACATAGTGAGTTCACAGCCAGCCTGGACTACATTGCAAGACCCTGACTCAAAAACAATAAAAAGAAGCCGGGCTTGGTGGCGCACACCTGTAATCCCAGCACTCGGGAGGCTGAGGCAGGAGGATCGTTGCGAGTTCGAGACCAGCCTGGGCTACAAAGTGAGCTCAAGGCCCACTTGAACTGCATAGCGAGATCCTGTCTCAAAAAGACCAAAAAAAAAAAAAAAAAAAAGATATTCATAATCACATAAATGATAACAAAAAAATTAAAATCACATAGAAATGTTTAAAAATAAAATGAATGTTCTATTTGTTTTCCTCTTTTTAGTGTCTCTCCACAGTAGTATTAAGTATTTAGGAAAATTTTGTTGCCTGATGTGGTGCCTGCCTATAGTCCCAGCACTCAGAAAGCTGAGGCAGGAGAATGATGTGTTTAAGACCAGCCTGATTCACATAGCAAGAGCCTCTCTCTCTCTCAAAAAAAAAAAATCATGGCTATGGAAAATATTTTAGGAATGTGTTTTTTCCTTAATGTCTAATTTATTATTATTATTATTATCATCTTTACAGACGAGTTGTAACCCTTCACGTGCCTTACCTCTGCTCGGTACTGGAAGCTCTCCCCCGACGCGGGTGGCGGATCCTGATGTCATCTTCCAGAGCTTCCTGCAGCGGGCTACAAGTAACCCTTTGGACTCCTTGATGGGCCTGAGTGACTCACCCCCTGTGGAAGACAGTGTCATCATCCCATGTGAATTTTGTGGGGTGCAGCTGGAAGAAGAGGTGCTATTCCATCATCAGGTTAGAGCCCACACAGGACTCATCTGCCTGGCTCTCTGCTGATCTTCTGGGAGTGAATTTGTGGCTTCCCGAGCCAGACATGGTATTTTAGCTTTTAGGCTGCATTCCAGTACACACCCGGCTTGTGGCACACACTGCTTCAGGCCTGGGACTGGCCCGTCCGAAACTGCCAGGTCTGTAGTTAAGGCTGCAAGAGCAGGCGTGGAGGCCTCGCCGCACGGGTGTAGATGGAGAGTCTCCCTGAGGTCACTTATGCGTTCTGTTTTTGCCCAGGCAGATTCTTACCCTGTGTCATTTGACACTTGCATTTTAGGAGGCCTGGAGGTCCAGTTCTGCCTTTGCCCTCTGATTGACTTTAGGTGGTTCCTGTTTCCTCTTCCTGGGGATAACTATAGTGAGAGAGTTGGACTAGACAATCCGAAGTCGTTTTTTCTGCTTTTCCAGTCTTGGATTCCCGTCTGTTATTGGAAAATAATTTCCTGCTTAATCTTGTTACGAGGAGCTATTGAAAATGTCATTTCCTTGATGTTAGTATATTGTACATTTCATTTCTATAAGAGGGGCTGGGGATTTAGCTCAGCAGCACAGTGCCTGCCTGGCAAGTGCAAGGTCGTGAGTTCAATTCCTGGTACTAGAAGAAAAACAAAAAAAACAAAAAACAACATATTTCTATAAGAAACATTTCTGCTTTTGGATCAAGAAGTAGACAGGGGCTGGGGATATAGCTCAGCAGCACAAGCGCCTGCCTGGCAAGTGCAAGGTCCTGAGTTCGATTCCTGGTACCAGAAAAAAAAATAGTAGATAACTGCTGGTTGCCTGCCGGAGGACACTGTGAAATAAGCCAGCACAGAGCTACTGTGATCGGAGTACAGATGTGCTTCGCTGGGCTTCCAGGACCAGGCCTTCTTCATGCCCGGCCAGATCAGAAGGAGCCCTGGCCAGCGCCCTGGGTGCTGCTGGGAGTGGCTTCTCCACTCCAGGAGTGCCCCGGACCTTCGTAGCGGTTGTCGGAGTCCCCTTCCAGTGGGCTGTGATCACCCCGTCTGCTCTTCTTCCCTTCCCCCTCAGTGCTGAGGTATTAAGTCCGGCTTTTCTTGTTTAGGACCAGTGTGACCAACGTCCAGCCACGGCCAACCACCACGGGATGGGGATTTCTCAACAGGATTCCCAGCCTCAAGAGACCTCACCAGAGCTGCGCAGGAGGCGGGTCAGACACCAGGGTATGAGCTGAGGCCGTGGGCACGTTCCCCTCTTCATCTGCACCATGGGGGCTCCGGCCAGCACACTAGCGCCTCTGGGGGCTCCGGCTCCTAGTTGCGGTGCCACGTTAGACCCGGCTGCTGTGTGTAGGTTTAGGTGCTAACGGGTTTAGGGACAGCCGTGTGACGCTCAGTCCGTGCTTGTGCCGCTGCTCTCCTGCCTGTGCACGTAATTACTTCGCAACCTCGTGACTAGGCGAGTAGACTGGTTTTGAAACTTAAAAAAGGCAACTAGAAACTATTTCAGGGGCTGGGGATTTAGCTCAGCGGCAAAGCGCCTGCCTGGCAAGCGCAAGGTCGTGATTTCGGTTCCCGGTACCAGAGAAAAAAAACAAACAAAAAACAAACAAAAAAAGAAACTATTTCAAGGTTGTCTTGCGCACTGTGGCTGGACAGTTGGGAGCTGTATTGAGGACGCGGTAATTGGTGTGGAGCAGAGACAGGGTGCCGCGGTTCTCCCCTGGGGAGGCGGCTGCCAGCAGTGACATCAGGGTGTGCTGTAGCTGTCCTGTACCCCGAGCGTTACGGATCCTGCCCTCCCTGACCCCAGCACTCATAGCCAGAGCACGCTTGTCCCTAAAGGGCTTACTGTTTTCTCTTCCCAGGAGACCTGTCTTCTGGTTACATGGATGATATCAAGCAGGAAGCCGCTAAAGGACCCACCTACCCTCTGCCCCCCAGCAGAGCCATTAATAATGTGACAACCAGCTTTAACCGACTGTCAAAATCCACATCAGCCCCCAGACCCGGGTCCCAGCCCAGCCCTCCTCGTGTGGTGAAGCTCAGCAACTCAGACAGCCACGACATCCAGGGGCGCAATCGAAACAGCCTGAACGGGGCCCAGGCTGCTGGGCCTGCTGCAGTGGTGCAGCCCGGACGCAGTCTGTATCCAGAAAGCCGGGTGCCCTCCTTCCCCCGGGGGCCTGCAGGCAGACATGGAGCCAGGTGAGAATCAGCCTGGAGACGGAGCTTGGAGTCCTGAAGGGAACGTGGGTACGCGGTCTGGTCCCTGGCTTAGCCTGGGTGAGGCTGAGGCCCATGGGACGCGGGCTGGAATCCAGGGTTTCCTGCGTGCGAGGTGCCTGCTCTGCCCCCGGGCTGCAGCGCAGCCCGTGAAGAGTTTGGGCTTTTCCTGTTCTCTCACCTGTTTCCAAAGAATTCTTTTGCTGTCCGTGGACTTTCTGTTTTGTGTGCTAGTGGAGAGCCGTGTGTGGCCTGGTGAAGCTGTGTTTCATTCCGAGTTTTTGCTCCGGGTTCTCATTTTTCAATCCTTTTCTTTCCGTAGAAGCGAAGGTGGCAGGAGCTCCCGAGTCACCCCTGCAGCCGCCACTTACCGCAGCAGAACTGCAAAGGTCCGCCGGGGCGAGCCCGTGGCACTCGCGTCCGTCGGGGGTGGTGGGGCTTGCGGAGGCTGAGGAGTTGCGGGGATGGGCTGGTTCTGGCCGGGCATCTTTAGGGCTCCAGGGATCAGTGCTCTGCTTTATTACTGTTTGCTCTTCAACAGGCAAAGCCCCCGAAGCAGCAGGGAGCTGGGGATGCAGCGGAGGAGGAGGAGGAAGAGGAGTAATGGCGTCTGCAGAGGCCCCTCACCCGGGTCCCCACCTTCTATGCATAGCAGCACTTCATGGGTCAGGCCCCACCTCCCTGGCCCTTCAGGCAGGGGAGGTTTTCCCGATTTTAACTTTTTCTAGGTTACGGCCATTTGTGTCTTTTGAGATTGTGTTGTGAGTCCGAGGTGTGCGGGAGGGTCAGCAGGGAAGCTGTTGGGAGCCAGGTTTCAGCCTTAGCGGCCACTGCGGGCAGCAGCGACTACACAGGTTTCCGCCTCTCCACCCACCGGGCCCCGCCTTCTGAAAACCATCCCCACTGCTTCTCGGTGCTCTGCGGCTCTGCTGGAAGGAGAGGAGGAAATCTGTAGCCAGCACCGAAGTGATGGTCTTCCCTGTGGGGGCGGCCGGGCGGGGGCGTCTGGGTGGCTGTCCTGTTGCTGCCCCGAGGTAGGCCTCCGGGTGTGGAGCCGCTCCGAGAGTGCTCAGGCCGCTGGCCGTCAGGAGGAGGCTCTTGGCGAGGAGCTGAGCGGGCGTGCGGGAAGCTGCTTTCTTGTCGTTGGGCAGCCCTGACCCTGCTCCTGGTAGGTGTCGCCGCCCCTTTGTCCCACCCTCCGTGGGGAGGGGAAGGGCTGCCCGTCCCCACTGGGTGGTGCTGGGCCGCAGCCTTGTGCTTCCTCTGAAAACCAAGTTGTCAGAGCTCCTTTTCCTGTTCTTTTACTATAATTATTACCAACCTTGTAATAGAAATAAAATTTGTACTTGGAGTTCAGCTAGGTCTTGTGCTTCCTTCTCTGAGCTCTCTCTGGCGACCCCAGGGAAGCCGGCGGGGGCAGGGGCAGCCCGCGTTGGGAGGCGAGCAGGCCTCCTGACGCCCGTGCCCTCGCGGCTCCAGCCTGCACGGCGCAGGGCGTTGGCGGCATAGCACCCTTGTTTCAGCTGGAGTTCGAGGACACCGAGGCGTGCGCAGCTCAGTCAGTGGGGAAAGCCTCCAAATGCTGAGTCCTGCGAGTAGGGGGCACAGTGGGCGCACAGTAGGCCGTCATTTCCCTCTGGTGCCTCAGGGTTTGCACAGCGCCATCCAGGGTGCCATGTCATTTGGAGCTCACTTGTCCCAAGCCCTGGTGGGGCCAGCAAGAGTTCCTCTACTTGGCAGGGCCGGGACTCTGCAAGGACTCGTTCTGAGAGAAGGCCCACCAGAAGGGGGCTGTTCCATGGGGTTCGAGGGCCCTCGTCAGGAGGCCCTTAGTTCAGGGAGGCCTTCGTGGCTCGGGTGGAAGCAGCCAGAGGGACGGACGAAACACACAGCGCTTCTGGTGACCTGGAAAGCCCTGGGGACTTGGAGGAGGGACGGGGCAGTGGTGACAGTCTTCCCCACATCTGCCAGAGACTAGTGCTGGCACCCGCCGCTGTTCGGGTACAGTGACACCTGCCAGGACGTAATCTAACTCCCGTCCCTGCTGTGTTGGATTAGATACTGGCAGAATAACACTGGGCTGGCTCGTTTTTATGTTTTTTAGTAAAATATGGTTTCTAATGTTTTGCAATGGATATACATTTTAAGAGTAATATTTTAAAGTATATATATATGTAAGGCAGATACAGCTACAGAGTTAAAAAGTTCCTTGTCTTCCCCTAAAATCGCTTCCTAAGAGTTGACTGCTTTTAGTTTCTAAGCTGTTTCCTCTGATATCCACACCTGACGTGGCTGTCACTTTTTAAAAATTGAGGCTGGGCGTGGTGGTGCACGCCTGTAATCCCAGAGGATCACTGCGAGCTCAAGCCAGCCTAAGCTATGTAATGAGTTCAAGGCCACCTTGAACTACATAGTGAGACCCTGTCTCAAAAGAGGTGGGGGAGTAAAAATATGTAAAATATGAAATCTAACATTTTAATCATTTTAAAGTTTAGACTACAGTGGCACTAAGTTTACATTATTCACCAGGTTGCAACCATCACTACTTATACTTTCAGAATTTTTTTCTTCTGTTTGTTTTTTGAGACAGGGTCTCACTATGCAGCTCAGGCCGGCCTTGAGCTCACTTTGTAGCCCAGGCTGGTCTTGAACGCGCAACGATCCTCCTGCCTCAGCCTCCCGAGTGCTGGGATTACAGGCGTGCGCCACCACCCCCGGCTCAGAATTCTTTTTTAATGATAGCAAAGTTTTATTAAAGGTAGGAAAAGAAACGGGCTCTGCAGAGAGTTTGGACCAAGTAAAAGCAGGAAAAGTGTGTCCTACAGTGAGGACGGCCCGCCAGGCAAGAGAGAATACGGTGGCTACTTCCAGAATTTTTATCCCAAAACAGAAACTCAGTACCTGTCAACCATACCCCAACCACAAGTCTGATTTGTCCAGGCGGTCTGCCTCTCCTCTGCTGCACTATTTGAAAGGTAATTTTGTTAGATACAGAGTTCTTTGTTGATAGCCTTTTTCCCTTCCATAGCTTAATGTTGATCTACTGTCTTCGTGTTTGCCTTCCCGCTGGTGACGGATTCGCTGTCTTTATCTTTGATTTTTCCCTACCTTCTGTGCCTGTTGTGAGAGGGTGTGTTTTTTTTTTGTTTTTGTGGTGGGGATTGGACCCAGGGCCTTTGCACTGAGCTACATCCCTAGCCCTTTTTATTTTTTTGAGCCAGCTAAGTCAGCACATTGCCCAAGCTCAGCTTGGACTTGGGATCCTCATGCCTCAGCCTCCCGGGGGTGGGGGGCAGATGCTGAGATTACATGTATGTGCCATCCTTCCTGGCTAGTGCTTTTCCTTGTACTTCTGTGGTGTAGCGGTGCTTTGGGTATTCCTTCTTATTGTCCGTTTCCAGGAAGTCTCAGCGTCTGCTGCAGATCATTCCCTCAGCCCACTGAGGCTCCTCGACTGCGATGGGGAGCAGGTGCCAAGAGCGGCTCTCACTGGAGGGCCATCAGCGGCGCGCTCCACCCCGTCAGCGTCTGCAGGAGTTTCCTGCGGCTTAGTTCAGAGAAAGGTCTGCCGTGTACACCTGGAGTGGGGCGGGATGTCCTGGTGCTGACCTTGATTTTGTCCCCGTTTTAGTCTCATCCTCCGCTCTCCAAGGTCTACAAGATAGAGTTGTGAGCTGGTCAGGTTCTTCCCCACAGTACCAATTCTGATCTTCAGTTTCAGTGGCTTCTGACACGAACTTCTATCCCTTGGTTTTTTTTGGCACATAGGGCCTCGTACTCTTCCATTTAGGGCCGGGGATATAGCTCAGTGGTGCAAGTGCTTGCCTGGCAAGCCCGAGGTCATGAGTTCAGTTGCCGGTACCAAAATAAATAAATAAATAAATAAATAAATAAATAAATAAAAATATTCTTGCGTTTAGATTTCTTTTTAATTTAAAGAGAGTGCAAATCACCTTGCCTCCTACTGTATGCTAGCTAAATTATTAGTGCTACTGGGGATTGAACCCCTGGCCTTTGCACTGAGCTACATTTCCAGGTCTTTATTTTGAGGCAGGTCCTGCTAAGTTGGTAAGTGGCCTAGAGTAGGCTCGGACTTCTGACCCTCCTGCCTCAGCCTTCCAGAGTGCTGGGCTTACAAGTGTGCCACCACGCCCCGCTTACGTTATGTTTCCATTAGGGTCTTCATTCAGAAATTGTGGACTGAAATTACACGTTTGGTCCCATAAGGACGGAACATGTTTCTTGAGTTCCTTGCGGTGTCCTTTAACCACCCTTCCATGCAGAGTAAGACGTGCACACAGGCGTACAGCTGAGTGTGAACACACCTGGCACCCACCCAGATCAGAAACGGTATCACTGACACAGCAGCCTTCCTGCTTCTGCTGTCACTCCCGCCCCTGGGCACCAGCACTCTGCCGCCACGTCTTCACCGATGGTGTTGGCACAGACAGCGGTGGCGGTTTGTCCCTTGGTACCATGTTCCGTGGTGCTTTGCGGTTGAGCTGTGGCAGGCCGTGGCCTGTTTCCTGGCCTGGTGCTGGCCACCTATACTCGTGCGTCCTGTGTGCTTTCTGGCAGCCATGGCGGGTGTTTCTTGGGGTTTGTACTGAGAGGGAGTTGCTGGTGCCAGGAATGATGTGGACGATGACGGTTGTAGGTTACATTGCCACAGGCAGCGTGGATGTCTCTCCGACCCTGCTGACAGTGTAGGACACCTCGTGACCGTGTCTCTCTGCTTGTGACTAGTTCGCGTAGCTCCCGTTATCGGGCAGCGTACTGTACTTGTGGGCGTACTTTCCAAGAGACCCCAAGAAGATAGAGGCAGCCCTTGCTACAGCCGGCAGGCAGAGCTCATCCGAGGCTGAGCGTGGGCTTCGTGCTGCTGTCCGCTGCTGCCAGCTCCCTGAGCAGCTGGCAGGAAGACGGGCAGCTGCTGGTCCTCACCCCACCATGAAGGTGTTTCATTAGGTGAGGGTGGAGGGCAGAGAACGAGGCGGCAGTGGTGCCGGGAGGATCACCACCGAGCAGGAGGTCAGCAAGCCAGGGAGAAATGAGTTGGTTCTCCCGGTGCAGACAACAGGTTCCCTGGGGTGGGGGCCGCAGCCATGCCCTGCCCTCTGCCCACACTGCCCCACTCCAAGTCTGGGCCCCTGGCCGCTCTTGAGGGCGGTGGGGCGCCGGCGGGCAAGATTTTGGGAGCAAGAACCACGTCAAGTGCAGACACCGTGATATTAGAAACATTTTAATTCCCAGCCACTTGGCGGCACTCAAGTATCAGCCATCCAGGGTCAGCCTTTGGACTTGCTCAGCAAGGGTAGATGATCACACACTCTGAGTATCGGTCGGAATTAGATGAAGGTTATTTATTGGTGTGACTTCTGTCCTGTAGTGAGCTTCCTTTACACAGCATAGTGTAAATAGCATCAGATTGAATGAAAAGTCTGTTAAATGCAACCATAAATAATTATAATAAATATACATCAAGTAACTTTACAGCACACATCTTTTAGGGCCGAGGTTTGGATCTGTCTGGACCTCTGCTCTCTGGGAGAAGCAGCTGAGCTAGCAGCAGAAAACGTCTCACAGCTGTCGCTACCACGTGAGGCCCACTGAAGCTTCCTGAAGCCCCTGGGGAGGCGGCCGACAGAACCCCACGTCCATTCACAGGATGAGGGGTGGCGGGAAGGAGGAATTGAAGGATACAAGGAGGAAAACCACTTCTAGTAAACCCACAGGCTCTTTCAGTATGCACAAAAGAGATCGGAGGGCCCTCGTTTTCAGGAACACAGTCCTGACGGGACCCCCATGGGGGGCTGTGGCCCCAGGGAAGCAGTGGTGACCGTCGTCCTTTCAGAGCAGGGACCTGCCTGTGGCACTCAGCTGCAGGTGCCGCCTGCGCCACTGACGGATGGTGACCACCACCCTCAGGCTTATCTCGCCCTCAGCGCAGGGAATCTCCTCTGCAATGGTCCTCAGGAGCCGGCGACCGGCTCCGACTAAAGCCCACGCCTCGGTGGCCGGGCCCCGCGGAGGAGGAGCGCGTCCCCCTCGGCCAGCAGCCCGGCCGGCTCAGCCTCCAGACAGCATCACTAAGGACTTGCGTGTGCACGACACGTACGAGGAGTGCAGCGCCGCCGTCCCGGACTGGCGAGGCCCGGAGCCACGGTGTCCGACAGGAGGGCGTGTGCTGCGCTTCAACAAGTACCACTGGACAAAGACTCACTTGGGGCACAGATGCACTGGGCAGTGGGTGAGCCCGCGCGGCTCAGCCCTGGCACGCACACGAACTGGGGGCACGGGGGTGACGGGGGCTGGGCGGGGGCCGAGGGACCCTGGGGTCTCCACGGACGGGACGG